CACCTGTCTTTTTTGCGTCTTTTTCAGTCAAGGTCTAATGCGTGTAAAGTGGGACTGGATTCTGATCCTAGCTCTTGCGAGCAACCATCCAAGTGTGTGGATCAACCACTGCTGCAGGACTTCCGCTTGCCACGTGAGCTGCAGAAGGGATGCTCACAAGAACCTCTGACAAATGTAGAACGACATGATCCCAGATTTTAGCCAGCTGCGGAGCAAGCAAACTGCTGCTGCCGGCGAGAGTTTGCGCAGCGGCAAAACGCTGCAAAGCGCAGAGTTGCCTGGTCATACCACCTATAGGGCATATATTCATCACACTCGGCCGAGCCAGAAACAAATTCTTGTTCCTGCGAGGCAGTCGCAAGCCGACTGTCTCCGATACGCAGGCAGTTATGAACCGCGAAAAGAGAGTCAGAACCACCGCCTCAGCAGGGAGAGGGACTTGATGCCAATATCTCCAATTGAGAGTTACTTGGGCTCGGCATACGGCGCCGAAAGAAAACGATCGACGCGTACGGTGCCGGTCAGGTCCAGTTTTGACATTTCTAGACTGAGTTTTTGTGTCGGAGAATGAGGTCTTAGCTCCAAGAAACTGCAGACTCTTCCACTCCGCGGACTCAGTCAACTGGCACAAGTTTCAGGCCCGGATTAGGTTTCATATTGCATCTTTTGAGAGCTTTTCTGATGAAAGTCCATGTAGCTTTGGCCAATGGGAGGGATGAAACCCTGTCACTCCCAGAGTCCTCTACTGCAAGGGACTTGAAGATCATGGCCCAGAAGGCTTTGGAACAAAAGTTCCTCAAGCTCATCACTGCCGGTGGGTACGTCTTCGCCGATCCCTTAGAGTCGCTTCAAGCTGCAGGCATTAAAGATGGAGATCGCCTCACTGCAATCTCGATAGAAGTGAATCTTGTGGCGGCCGTGAGCGCCTTCGCACTCTGCGTCGGAGGCCAAGTCACCACCTGGGGCAATCCACGTCTTGGTGGTGACAGCTCGAAAGTCAAGGAGCGTTTGTCAAGTGTGACGCAGGTGCAGTCCACCAGGCAGCTCGGATCCTCCACCTCCACGTGGTGGCCCTGGGCCCTTCTTGA